GCGTCTTCGAGGGACGGGATAAACCCAAATATGTCACCTGTTTGGCTTTTAATCCCAACGGTTAGTCAAAATTCATTAACTGAAATTGTTCACCGAGTCGGATTTATTGACTTATGTCCAAATAACGCGGCAGGTGACGTGCTGTCCGGGGATTCCAACGGCAACATAATAGTGTGGGGGCGCGGCACCAACACTATCGCGAAGTTGGTGCGCGGCGTGCACGAGGGGCCGGTGTTCTCGCTGTGCTGCCTCAAGGACGGTGGCGTGCTCTCCGGCGGCGGCAAGGATGGCCGCCTCGTCATGTTCGACTCCGAGCTGAACGCCACCGGCATCGAGAATGTGGTCAGCTTACATCACTACTACGAAGATCCTCATCTTCAGCTCTGTGTATTACTAACATTGATGTTTGTACAGATCGAGGGTCACTACGGCGGCGTGCGTGTGGTGGCGGAGGGTCGCGGCAGTCAGCTGTACGTGGGCACCACGCGCAACTGCATCCTGCACGGAGACCTGCAGCTCGGCTTCTCGCCAGCCGTACTCGGTAATACGCATACCATTCCTCCATATTTACTATCTAAAAATCCAATCGCCATCTTAGTGTTTTTTACAATGTAATAAATTTTGTGTCAGGTCATGTGGAGGAGCTGTGGGGTCTGGCGGCGCACCCCTCGCTGCCGCAGTTCGTGACGGCGGGGTGGGACCGCCTGCTGCAGCTGTGGGACGGTCTCAGCCATTCCACTGTCTGGAGCAAGGACATCGAGGTACACTAATGCATGCAAGATCGTCTTGTCAAAAAAAACTAACAGCGCCATCTATTGATTTGCAAACAAATAATGTAAACAGCGCCATCTTCCGAATTGCAAATAAATTACAGCGCCATCTAGCGGCACTTTTAAAATGAATTCATCAATGTATTGTTTCAGGAGCGCGCGCAGTGCTGCGCGTGGTCGCGTGACGGCGGTGCGGTGGCGGTGGGCTGCCTGTCGGGTCGCTGGCTGGTCTTCGACCCTCACTCCAGGGAGCTGCTCGCCAGCCATCACGATGGGTAAATATTACATTTCACATCATTATTCTACCAAAAAGTATCTCTAAAAATAACTAAAAAAAAAGCTACCTAAACTTTACCTCAATTTATAAAGATTTTAACAACGCATGTTGACAGCTGCGAGCCGATCCAGACGATCCAGTACTCGCCCAACAACGAGATGGTGGCGCTGGGCTCGCGCGACAACTTCATCTACGTGTACCAGGTGCAGGACTCCGGCGCTCGGTACTCCCGCCTCGGCAAGTGTCTGGTTAGTACAACTTATACCAAATTACACTGCCTACATCTTATTCTGAATTTTTTTATAAATTTAACCGTGTTATCGTGGGTTTTTGACACCAAAATCTCTCGTTAAATACTTATTTTTAACTCTGTTTTAATAAAGATGATAGGGATGACGATACAGAGATTTTGGTCTTAGAAACCAACGCTTAATCCATTTTATCATCCTAGTGGTTATCCACCAAACCAAGGTTTATATATTTAACCTCATGCATGGGTTTTGAATTTCTTATTGTCCATACTGTGTCATCTTTGAAATGTCTTTACACAATATTACTGTTTAATTTGTTAGTGATAAATATGAAACAATTTGACTACAACATGCACAATCATCAATTATATATTAGACAAAAGTTTTATGTGAATTTTATGACGATTTCATGCATTTCTAGTGCACGGAGAGAAAACGTAGACGGGTAACAATACATTATGTAGCATCGCAACCGCATTTATACTTTACAATATTTTGTTTAACATAAACTTGAGGCTTTTATAGTAGTTGTTTATGTGTTTTATTAAATTTTAATTATAGTAAAAAAAAATTTGTCCCACATAATTTTTATATGTTTTATAATTTCTGTAATTGAAAAAAAATATGTAGACACGCCAAAAATATATATCATATTGACATCAAAATATATAAGAAATTGAAAAAGCAGATTTTTACCCCCAAAAAAATTGTTAAAAATTTAATTTTTTTCGGCTTAGACTGAATTACTGAAGAAATAGTGATAGAATTACTGGATTAATAAAAAAGAAAATTGTTGGACTATTGATTAATTAATATTTATTCTCATACAAGTTTATTTATCTTTTATCTTAAATTGTAGTGTAATATTAGTAGTGTAGTTAAAACTAGCTTAGTAGTTAGTGTTTACGCCTTTGCTATGTAGTTAAACATATTGTTAAATGTATATACAAATATCTATGTAAAATACCTAACAATGAGATATATATTGTCAGGGTCACTCGAGTTACATAACACACTTGGACTGGTCGGAGGACAGCCAGTACATAAGGAGCAACTCCGGAGATTATGAACTGCTGTTCTGTGAGTATCTTCTCTCATCTTCTGGATTCTTCTAGATATATTACTTTTAGATTAAAGTTATATTAAACATCATTTTATTTTATTTTTCTGTTAAACAATCTGTTCGTAATATCTCGTAATAAAAAATGTATTTATATGTAGGGAACGCGACGACATGCCGTCAGATCACAAACCCGACTTCGATGCGTGACGTGGTGTGGTCCACCTCCAGCTGTCCCATCACCTTCCACACGCTGGGCGTCTGGCCGGAGAACGCTGACGGCACTGACATCAACTCCTGCACCAGGTACCTTGTACTACCTGACTTCACTACTTTTTGTAATTTACACATTTTCTTTGTTTTTATGTAATAAACACATAATGTAAATTTTTCCTCGTGACAAAAATGTCATAAACTGATTGCATTTTGATCCTAAATTTAGTGTAACGCTACTAATATATCTTGTATGAACAGATCCAACGACGGACGTCTGGTGGCGACGGGCGATGATTTCGGCAAGGTGAAGCTGTTCGCGTACCCTGTCACTCAGCCCAAGGTACGTGATGATCTATAACTCATAGTTACTACTGTTGTGTAACTCACTCAAGAGAGTGATGTTATTATACAATTGTGTATGCAATATAAAGTTAGAGTAATATTGGTATATTTCAGTCTCTGAGCCACGCGTACGGCGGACATTCCTCCCACGTGACCTGCGTGCGCTTCCTGTCTGACGACTCGCGTCTGCTCTCCGCCGGCGGACTCGACACCGCAGTGCTGCAGTGGATCCTCGACTGATCCTCACCACCTCACACTGCATGCCTCACCACCTCCCTGCTGTAGTGGATCCTCTACTGTGCTTCTCCACCTCACAACCTCACGACCTCTTTCTCGAGACATACTGCAAAGGTCGGCAGTCATGACGTCACACATGATAAGTTTCCGTCTCCGTATACGTGAAGAGGTCTACATTAAAACGGTCGTCGTTCAAAGGAAAAGAGTAACCAATTTATTGAGATCTGCGCACTAAAATCCAATTTCAAAACAGTCCAACTGGACTAGTTTTAGGGCGTATTTATTGCACAAATGTTTGCATTCTGTGTGAGATTTTAATCTATTTTCTCCTTAAATTACCTGTTTTAAAATGAGTGAAAGGAAAGTTAAATTGGATGAAATTTACCACTACGAGTATGTGTGCGTTTGGGATTTGATGAATGTGGTTTTTGAATTCTATATTATGCGTATTATAAATACAAATTCCAATTCTAATGTGATTTTTAATATTTCTATTGTATCCAGTATTTTAAATACGCGTTTCAATGTAATGTCAAAAAATGGCGGATTTAGGATTGGCGCGAAAAAATCGACTGCTTTTTATTTTTAATTTTAAAACATCAGAATAAAGGTTTTTCTTTTTTATAAATTCTGTGTTACATACAAATGAAAAAACAATAATTCAAATGGATTTTTTTTAAAAATTAACCCATTGTACAATATTTGCTGTGAAAATACAATATTTTGTATATAAGTTTGAGATCTAATGCAACACTTGTAGTTAAATCTCCCTTAGGGTTGATTTAGAATTAAAAATCAACGTTTAATTGACGACTATAAGTGTGGCATTAAAAATGGCCTTTTAATGTGTTAATGCATAATTTGTTTTATCTATAATTTTCTATCACAGCTTTTTATAACAATGTATAAAAGACACAAGATTTGATGAGCCAGAATAGTTCTGGTTATGTCTGATATGGATTCCGTCGAATTGTTGACACGTTTAGGTTATATTTAGCTTATTGCGTTGGCAACATTGAAATTATTTTTTTAAATATTTTTAAACTTGCAACACTGAGTAATGTAGTTGATAATGTGATTGAGCTTTTTAGCATAATTTTCAAATATTTTAAGCATAATATTAGGGAAGTTGGCACTGTTTTTAATCGTATAGTTTACAAATTAGATTAAGTTTTTTTTAACACTCAACGTTTTTTTAACTTATTTAATATGTAAATTTGACTAATTTTTGATTATAATTTTTATTGTTGCATATAATTGCAATAACGCACATTTTCCGGCTTAAACTGTACCTAATTCTTATCTATCGTAGAATTAAATGTTCAAATATCAGTACAAAAAGCTCGCATCGTATCAGTTCTTACTTCTCCGCATGTAACCTAGTCACCGTTTGAGATCGTTTCTTTGGGTTTCAGTCGACTCTCATTCCCTAGTTATAAGCACTATAATCTTTTAGGTACTTTGTGTATATATTATTGTACGATGGCTTTGTCCGTCTTTTTGAATGTGCCTCTAATAAGAAACATGTTTAATGAAATTTGTTTTTTTATTTTCCTAACACTAACATTGCTTGAAAGTTTGCTCTTTGCAACACAAGGTCTATTGAGAAATTTTAAGGAAAATAAGTATAGTTTCACAAATATATAAAGCATTTTATTAAAATCTCCATCGTATTATAAATAAATAAAAATGGACAAGATTACTATTAAATTTGTAAGTTACCTTAACCTCCATAGTTAAAACGCATTTGAAAAATATCACATGTCGTCAAAATGGAATCCTTAAGTTGTTAATTTGTACTAAGATTTCTACCTAAATTGGTTGAGGGTTTGATATAAAACCATATTAGAGCTCCAACGATTTTAATTCAACTATAAACAACAACTACTTAAATTAACTGCTCCACGCTGTTTGCTGAGAGCTCCAGCAGTCTCCAGGCCGCCTTGGGGTTCAGCTCCTGCGGGTCCCGGCACAGCACCCACACATAGTTCACCCTCATCACCTTGTCGGGGTCACCTTCGAGGACGTTGTTCTTAGCGTCTCTGACACACATGATCTGCTGCGACTGGAATGTGATCACGAGGACGGGGCCCTGGTCCATCATCTTGCCCATCACCAGCTCTATTTGTTCAATGTCCAATATCTTTGAGTCCAGTCGGTAGCCAAGTTGCTTGCACTGTTTGATTGGTGTGGCCAGGATGTTGAAAACCCCTTCGTAACACCAATCCTTCAGTATATCCAGGTCTCCTCGTACCATTGCCTCTAGGATATTAGGTATGATGTCATTGGCACAATCTTCTAGAAACTTCTGTGCGGTGAAGTTTGGGTCGATTTTGCAGATTTCGGTTAAGGTCTTTGAGAGTTCAGTTTTCTCGAATAAATTACCAAAGAGGCTGCCGACTTTCTCAGTGACGAATCTTGAAGCTTTAACAACTGCATTATCTGATTCTTCGTATCGTATTTTCCAATCGAGAACCTACAAAATAATTTTAATTAACATTTTATACATACATGGCTATTTGAATTTTTATTACACTTACAACACAAAATAAAAGAATAACAATATGTTCAATATTACATGACTACTGATTTCTAATAATACAAAACAAATAAGATGAAGTTGTATCATTTTTGAGAACATAACTAGAATCTTATTGAGACCAGAATAAACTAATAGATGTACTGACCTTGTTGACATACTGGTTATTGTTCTTGAAGTTCTCCCACTGCTGGTAAAATTTGGAGTCCTTGTGCAGCTCCAACCCCAGCGTCTCCGTGTCCGGCGCGAAGCTGCGCTCCTCGTCCGCCACCTGACACACACAAATATATTACGATATTAGTCAGCCATTATATGTAATATGAAGGGAAAATAAAAAATTAATTTACCATAGGCTAGGCTAGTATACATTATACTATATTCTAGTTAAAAGATTTAAAATAAAAATACAAAAATGTGCTCACCTCAACTCGCTTTCTTAGTGCAATAGGCGAGGTGTAGACGCGGCCCTCCAGCCCACGCGGCGACATCTCGTTCCTCACTACCTCGGTTGCCTGAAAACAAATTCATACCAATGGGGTGAATTTAGATATCACAACTGATAAGTTCTAAGTGATCCAGGGTTCAGGGTCGGCTCAGAATTCTTCCAACTCGATAGAGTTGGAAACCCTCCATGCAATTTGGCAGCCTGATCATGATGAAGTTTTATTTACATATCTTGGAAAGTCTTGTATGTGACTTCTGATCTAATCAGTTTACAATAATTATTTATTTCATACATAACATACAGCTCACAAGCAAAATATGGGCCTGTTGTTGAGTTGAGGAAATTGTGCACTCACAACTAACTACATAACATACTGTACTGGTACAGTGTCCCAAAATGCGTCTTGACTTCCGACACAAGATATACATGATATATTTCTAGTTTATTTGTAATTTTACCTGTGAAATGGTCCTGAAAGCTGATGTCTGTCCGAGCCTTTGGCCTTTATCAGCTATACTCTCCGCCGCGTCTTTAGCTGACTTAGATATATCTTCTGTAATTTTCCCTGAAATTTAAAAGTACAGTATGTCCTTTTATACATAGATATGTACAAATTTTATATCCACATAAGTTATTATCAACTAGCTATCGCTCGCCACATCATTCGCAAGGAATTAAAAAAAAAACTTAATTGGTAGCCTCTGCGTTCTTCCAGACTATGGTCTACTCGAGCTGTTCCGGAGAGTACCTTCTAAGAAATATCTATCCATCCATCTAAACATTTGCATTTATAATATTAGTAATATTTGCAATATCAATATATGTGTAAGAATTCATTTATTTTAATCACAACCTTGTAATATGAATATATTTCAATAATCAACAATTTATATAAATATAAGATAAAGAAAAAGCCAGGCTATCACAGTAGAATTTCCATATGTATTATGTATTATATAAGCCCAAATACATAAAAACAAACTTACATATGCACAAAAACATTACCCTCATTGTCAGTCAGATAATAAATAAAGAATTTATTTACAATTCTACTCACCAGCTTTTTTAGCAAATTCCGTTTTACTGGCCTCTTCTAAAACATGTTCAACCTTTCCTTTGATACCTTCTAATGTGTCTTTAAGAACTTCTGAGCTTTTTGATGCCTCAGATTCCACAGCCTGAAACTTTTTCCTCGCTGCTTGTAGTGCTTCTGAATTCTCTAATCTCTGTGCTTCTTCTCGGAATTTTTTGATATTTTCTTTCATCTCTTTGTTTTTCGCAATATCTTCTTTGATGTTTTCGATGATGGATGAAAAGAAACCTTTTCTTGCTGAGTAACTGCGACATACTTGAATTGCAAACTATAAGTGATAATAATAAGTTAATTGCTTGTTTGATGGTGTAATTGTTTTTACAAGTTAATTAAGAATACGAAAAGGCGCAAACAATGTATGTATTGAAATATTAAACTTCCTCTGACTTGTACAAAAAATACATTCTATATATTTAATAAAATTCCTATGAGAATACACCAAATTTTAAAAATTAAGTATGCAGTAGTTGCACATCATCTTTTCCTTTCGATTAAATTAAATTTAATGTTATAGTAGTTTGTATTTCCCTTTTTGGTCAAATTTAACCAATAATTTCATCATTTTATGATAATTGATGCTTACCTGATCCGATTGACATGAAGCAACTACAGAAGGTTTGAAATTGTTTGGAACGACACATTTCCAGCGCGCAGGGCTATTTAATATTAAACGACACGAATGCTGAAATAAAATATGATAATTGTAAGTTTTATAACCTTATCAATGAACTATGTAACAAGAAGGTTATACTGCATTTACCATAGTTGTAAATATTTACTGTCCTATACACACTAACTTTTATAGTTCAATTTAATATTCAAATAGTAACACAACCGATTTTTCGGTTTATGAGAGAAAATACCAAATAATGGTAAAAAATTAAATTAGTCTCGCATTTTAGTCGACTTTTGAGTTTGGATTAGATTTGACAGTTTGACAGTCTATGATCTATGTTTCATACAGTTGAGATAAAACTTAATTTTCCTCGCTGTAGATACAGAGTTTTTGAACAAACATTCTAAGTTAACAAATCATTTTTTACTTACGCCTAATCGACTAATATCTATAAAATAGAAAACTAACAACAAAAGCATTTTAAAAGGTATAATATCACTTAATATTTCGAAGAAATCGCGCAATTAACCAACAAACCTCTTTTTCGCATATCCGGAAAAAACAACTGTCATTGTCATTTCTCATAGACAATTTAATTCAAATATTATATTTCCTGTTCAGTATTTTGTTATAAAACGTTTTTTTCTATTTTACTATTAGTACAAATATCGTAAATTTTCGTTTTAGTAATAAGCATCTTAAGAAATAGAAATGAAATATTTTATCAAACAAAATTTAAACGTTTTCAAATGTAAGATGCTCGATGTTTTGAGTTTAAAAAAAATTCTCGCTTCCGGTGTGAACGTAGTTCCAGAAACATAAGAAAGTGTGCATTTTCATTTATTTTCTGTCGTCATTTTTGGCCACGGTTTCGTGTACGCGTTTAATGATATTTAATTTATTTTGCGTTCGATTGTAGTAGTGTGAATCAAGTTCTTTCGTGAAATTTTACCATATAACATAGAGAAAGAATTCGCGAGGCGCTTCGTCATACAGAGGAAGGTACTATCGAATATCTTCAATCCATATTTACTTATATAGGTATACGTATAGTGCACTAGACTAGACACCACGTTTTCGCCAGCTGGTGCGTTTCGGCTTGCAAATTTGGTTTTGCTATTGATTTATTTTTCCTTATAGCAATATGTATGTGTGTGTTATTTCCAGACCGTAGTGAAGTAATATTGTATTGTGGCAGGTTGGTTACCCCGGCTAGTCGCGTGTTTCGCTGGTGCCAGCTTCTTCGAAAGATCAACAATTCATCCCATCTGTGAACTCTCGTCCAGTGGGGCGCTACCATTTTATATGACTTTAGCAAGATATAAAGGTAAGTGTCCTTTTTGTATATTAAAAAAAAATCAAAACTCAATTCGGAAGTCAAATTGTTCATTTTATTATTGTGCTTATTGGATGGTACATTAATATTTTCCTTTATGAATGATATTATTGTGATATGATTTTATTATATTTATAATATAATCATAATTTCATAGCCACATACTGTTGATAATTTCTCCCTTCTTTCTATTAACTCTGTCCAATAAGACAATATCTTTAGTCAACCTTAACACTACAGTTTAGTTCTCCAATAATAGATCTGAAACCTTATATCACCACAATATCTTGGTATTTCATGAAATTAAAAATGAAATCATTAATGTTGTAATACAGTTCACATTGCTTCACATATTTAGCAATCAATCATTTTATAGCAGAATGTAACAGTTTATAACTTATTAAAAGCATGTACCCGAAGATGTAAATCAAATTTTATGTGTCACAAGAAACTTACAATATATACTTAAAGTGGGATATATATGAAAAGAAACATATAGAAGCCATATATTTATTTAACACCAATCTCACAATTCTTCATGTACATTTGATCAGTAAGTTCTATATGTATATTTTATCTGAAATTTTGTAACCCTGTACATTCAAACCATTGAACCAAGAATGCATTGAATTGTGTGAGAATTTTATATATTACCTTGGAGAATGTGATATTGGTTATTATAAAAAGTAAATATTCATTCATTATTTATATCTATTGCCTGCAACCAGTGCAATGAAAAGTGCTAAATCTTGAGAGAACCCATCGTTTAACTCTTTTCTTTGGCTGACATAATAAACAGTTCTTTTTAGAATAGAATTTGTTTTTAAATTCTATGTACATATCAAGTTCAAGTATATAAGAAATGCATGTAACCACTGATATGATGGGAAATAAAATTAGCGACAGTCTACAGCTTTATACTGCTGCACATAAACTGCTTATCAAAGTGCAAATTAAAATTAATGGTGTATGAGTTTTAATTAATTTTATTTATACAAGTTGATAGTATATGGGTTTTGTTACTACCTGTAATAAATCTTTGTAAGAAATAGGATTCTTGGCATAATCAATCTGTTTGAGAATGTAATTTTTTACAAACAGTATAATACTACATGAAAAGGAGGAATGTTAATCGACATGACTGTTTACATCATCTTATTGCTAACATAAAATTATACTTTTGAAACATGACCTGATGTCCATGGATGTCGTTGAACACCTCGGTGTTCCTGCTGCTTGTTTGCCCCCTTCTGTTGTAACAAAAAAAAACAGTTTCTGAATAGTTTGCTTTAGAATATCAAAATTTTAATACTAACTTTCTTGGACAGTTTTTACAGTATATGATGTATATTTTAGTGCCGTCGTTACTTAGTCAATTTCATGCAGGCGGTAAATTTTTACTCAATATTTTGATGTCATGATAATTTTAATAGATATAAAAGCGTGGCGATAACATGCTAATGTGATAAGCGAACTCGTGCCTTGCCAGTGACACTTGATTTTGTGTAATAACTATACTGGTTATGTCAAAAAAGTAATGTACATTTTTTTAATGATGACGCTTTTTTTTAATTCGATCGATTAAATCTTATTATCGAATCACTTCATTGATATTGAAGTTTAAACAACATAATGTTGTAAATGTATGTAATAGAAAATATTACGAGACTCATTGATAAGTTTTGCGATGTTTCGCTACAGTTACTATGACAATTGTTAACCCCCTCCCCAACCCCTAGCATATTGCGCCATCCGCAGGAAGAAATATCTATGTTGGTATTCCATGAGCGGAATTCAATCTTATATCCATTTCCTTTCGATGTTTTAACTATTATAAAAGTAGCATGTCATCCCGCGACTCCGTTTGCGTGGATTTAAAATAAAAACTTTATTAGCAGTCTACGTGTTATTCAAGTTGAGTTCAGATTGAAGTTTTTAAAGAAACACCACTAGCGAGATTAAATTGTTTTCGAAATAAGCTTAAATGTCGAAACTAAAGCTTAATAAAAATTAACATTAAATTTCACATTGTTCGAATGATATATGTATAATTTTCCGTGTATTACATTAGCGTGGGTGGTAGGTACAACCCCGGGGCTGTTAGTTGCGCACCGGCGCAGCCTCCGCGATCGTTACGAGCCTCTCCCTCTACAGCCCCCTACACCCCCCTCACACAGGCTACACGCTCGTTCACACTAAATTGAATTTAGGATGCCTGGAATACTAAAGGCCAACCCAATATTATACCCAATATAATACATTAAACGTTTTGTTACGCTTTCATAAATAATGCACAAGAAAATGTGTGTTTTATGCTAATTAGGACAGAGGTCATAATCGTATGATTATTGATTTTGATTCGTAGTTAGGGTAATATCGTAGATTTATAAAATTTGAGTGTTGCATGTTATTACGACTTAAAGAAAGTTCAACAATAGCTCCTATACAAAGTGAGAACATTGAACATCCCTTTGTTGATAGATGTGACGGTAGCAACACCAACATCTATTGCACGACTTGGCCGGTTCTCTCGGTGAAATACCACGACCACACAGAAGTTTGGCGTCTAAGTATCATGAGCCGCGCGATGAGCGTGTCAGAGGCATAAAGTATTCTTTTTCTGTGGGTCTCCTCCTTTGTTAAAGGTAGGCAAACGCATCTGCAATTGCGATGTCTATGTGCAGCGGTCGCTTTGCTATTTCGACGAATGCAGATGGCCGCTTACTCGTTTGCCACCTATTAATTAAAAGTCTACTTGGTATTATGTCAACCTGTGATTTTAATGAACGAGACGGTCGTACACTAAATCAGTAGTATTACGGTATATTACGTTAGTATGCCGTCACTGTAAACGTGTACGCTTACGGTCGTAGTGTGGTGGGGGGTGGCTGTGTGGGGGCGCAATGGCGGAGGGTGCAAGGCGCAGTCTGCGATCGATGCAGCCTACGCGCTGACCTGGTAGGGTCTGGATATACATACATTGTCAACAGGCGTCAATTAAGTTAAGATTATACAGGATGCGACTAAAGCTTTTTATAATTATTGCTCCTTCACGCCCTTCTCTTGCTTTCTGCTCGAAGTCCAAAGTGAATCGGAGCGAATAATTTATTTTTCACACGCTGTATCTAGTTTTCACTTTCAAGATGAGTCGCGTGATGGTTTTAGCATAGGTACTTTTTACTCGACTCGCATTTGACAAGTTTTACATAAGAGTGTTATAGCATCGGCTGCCGGAAGCCGTCTCGGCGAGCGCGCGGTGCTGGTTCGTGCCTCGTTATGTCAGAGGTTAACGCACTCGCCTTTTGCATTCACACGGCCAAAAGTGCAAGTACCCATAGCCTAGGTAACGATTTAAATGAAAACATTGGTGCCAACCAGTTGGCATATAGTCCGCCTTAACCTGTCTAGAAGATTTGATCGCTGATAGATTGTTGTCTTGGAATTAGTTTTATTTACAACAATATAAAGACCGTCATTGTAACTTGAATAGATTTTTTCGAAATAAATAGATAAGTTTAGAAGAGACATTGCTCATCTTCAGGTCAGAGTTATAGAGTTTTTGGTATAAAATCGATGATAAACATGTCAAGGATATGAAACAACCATATATTTGCTCAGTTCACATCTATCAAAATTATACCGAAAATATTATGATAAATCAAAATGTCATCTTTGACCGGGCAGAGAAAGTTCCAGTGTTTATAACTACGTCAACCTGATGTAAATTTTAGCTTCTTAACGAAGAACTCCACTGCACTAAAACTTAAATACATTGTCCCTTTGAAATGCCTGTGTGAATAGAAGGATCACTACAGTCAAACACCACAGCAACAGGGATATATCTATCATTCGATTTAGATTGCCACAAGTTTGCCTTTTGTTATAAAAGGTGATTCATCATGTAATCATATGTGGTCTACTAGTTGCACATTATGATATTAATACAAACATACAGGTTGTTGTTTTTGTCGTTGCATTCCGTACTTATCTCGAATGCAGGCCAATACGAGTTATGTCGTCGATGCACTATACTGTGCGACCTTACATTTGTTTAGTTCAATGGCCCTAGAGCCGCGAAACGTGAGCGCGTTAGGTTCACCAAACTGTTTACCGTCTAGGTCTAAGAATGTCAGTCTGTATTGACAACGATATGTTTACATGTTTCTTTGGTTACTCATTTTCTTACTATAATAGTAATTACTATAAAAGATTTTCGTAGAGACATTTTATTTTAATAAGTTATATAGGAATTGAAAGCTATAAGAAAGTCCTGCAAATATTTAATTGCTTGGTTAACATCATTGCGAAGTATTAGTAATGCGGCCTTATCGTGCCATCGAGAGACGATTTGTCGTGTCACTTGCCAGTATCGTGTCTTCCCCGTGTCGTGCGCCGAGATGGTGCCCGCACGTGGGAACGCTGCCCACCGCAATGACTCACCGGGGATCTCGGAGGATGACTCGATCGCAACGGACGCTGACTTGTCTTGAACATTTGAACGCACAGATTAGAGTTATTACTAAAGTATATGAGACAAAGGCTTGTGGTACAGGATGAAGTAATGATTAAGTTTAAATGTAGTGAAAAAGAGTCGTACTCGCTTTGGAAGCAATTATAAAATAATCTTTACGAATTTAATCCACCATTTAAATTATTTCAGAACTTTGCTTCATTATCAGTTGTTACAAAGTCACTGATAAAGTTTGTAATTTTAAATAATATTAAGTAAGTAGTTCAAACAGTATCCTGCTTTATGCGTCAGTGATCTCGTATAACAATAGAGTTGATAGGACATCCATTTGTTTGCGTCATCCGTTCACGCTCCATTCGTACACGCCCGCGTATTATCAATATGCTAAAAATTCTTTTATCGACTATCTCCCACTTTCAAAATGTTACATACATGTGCGTATTTAATATCAGCAGCTTTCGCGTGGGTGTGTATTTTACAAACTGCTTTAGGCTTTCCAGGAGGCAGACAACGCTCAATCGATAGCACGGCACATGCGTACGGCTGCTCGAGCCCCGCGCAATCTAACCCCCTCCTCCATCCCCCATCCCCCAGCTAACCTAACCCTTCACTCCCCGCGCCGTGTCCTGCGAAGCCTTCTCTGCCACCCCATGCCTCATAAGGACGCCGAATTGCAGTCCTACACAATGATAAATTGCATCCGACGACGCAATCTGTACCAAACTGCGCTGCAATGGCGGCTGCCATAGACGAGTGATTATTTTTTTAAATCTTAAGAGCTGCTCGCACTACTGGCCACGCTACTTCCGGTAATTGAGTTTTTGATTTTTAATTTAGCAACTTTTGAAAGTTTTACTTGTTCATTGATATTAATTACTTTTACTACGTCGGCCTTTTTGACGGCTACAATTTTCTCGATTTTACTTAGATTACTTAGGAATCATATCAACATTTACAACAGCTAAAAAGGTACTGAAGAAGGAAAGATGTAAAGTTTAAAATCTGTAGTCTTTTTTATTAAAATTATTTTCATTTCTAGCCTTCATTGTTTAGGAAAAATATATGACTACTACTCTATTTGACATACTCTATGTAAGTAGAGTATATATAAAAAGGCGCAGTTTCCACTGCACATACGTGTCAATTAGCATCCTGGCTGCTAATTGGTGATACGTCCGGCCGAAGACTGTGACGTCATCGGTTTGCGATATCTGGATATTGAAGGACGGAAAGTTTAAATTTGCACCGTAGTAATGGACCTATATTTTTTATAATATTTAAGGTACGCGTTCATTGGCCCGCGCCGGACACACCGTACTCAAGGCTCGCAACGGATTTTAATTTTCTTTCTATGATTTTACGCAGCGCTGCGTACATAATCCGCGCCGCCCGCATCGCATCAATCCTGTTAATACGTGCATGCGGTTCGTCCGGCGCGGGCCTATATAATTCTACTTGTGAAAATCTTACGATGAAGTTTGCTCTAATGGCACAGTGAATTGTCGATGTGAAGGAGTCACATCACTAGCGATAATTTGCACTTTATCGATCAGCAACCTTGACTCGTGCTACGGTTTCTGCGTAGTGTCATGTAGCGGGTGCAACTCTTGTAGGGTTGCCAGCCTATTTGTTCATTGTTGCTATAAATAAATGATTATTGCTTAACATCTTATCGAATACTATGATAGTATAGGTTACTACATATCTCCGCCACGTTGGTATGTTTCTGTTTATAATGGAAATCAAAATACTATTTTATATTCCATCAGAAATTATTTGTTATAGAAAATATTTTCATTATTAAAAAATAATTAAATGTATTACCGTTTGAAGCAAACATGACAACCCTGCATGGTTAGACTATATGTAAACAGGATACAGTTCAGGCACTAAGAGATGACTAGGGTACGGTCGCGCGGCCCGTGGGACTGAAGTGCGCGCCTTTAACAAGATTTCTGTTGACATTTGTAATTTCATTGTCATTGCTGCGTTTCTGTATTATCTTTACAAATGTCGATAATTGGTTACAGTTAAATATAAGAAATCTAAATTTAAAGTCTCATTTCGTGACCAATTAAAGATTTTGTAGGAGAAATATTTTCTTGGACGTTAGCATTTCGTCAGCGCGTGAGTTATGCAATCAAAGTGAATGTGATTAAAAAGCTATTTCACTTTTGGTTAGTTCGCGTCGCGGCTGTAGTAATTTTATTGCGATAAACAAAAAGTTGTGAAGCAAGCGCCCACTATTTGAACCATATCCTTATTTCTTGAAACGAGATTGCCAAGTTTTTACATTAAGAGAGATACTACGATTAATAAGTCAATTATCTTTGTCAATCTTTGTCAATTAAATTTTAGTTCAATTGATTATTTGTATTACTTTATACTAGTCACGATAATTCATTTTATAAAGACGTGTGAGGACTTTATAAACTTTATATCAATAGATTTGAAGTCTCTGTGAAGTGATTACATCCCGCGCTCGGGTGCCCTCTGATTGACATCTAGTGAACACCGCATCACACAAGATGAAGCGGTTATAAATAATGATGGTTTATGATTTGTGGGTAGTCATTTCATCATATCCCATATCACAGTCTTTGTAATCACACGTGACATTTCAGTAAACACATTAGATTGACGATATTTTCAAATATATATACTGCAAATATGATTTAATAACTTAAGGTTATACGTTTATATTTAAATAAAAACATTGTACAAATTAACCGACATTTGAATATGCTGAACAATGCATCGTACCGCTACAGCTGTGCACTAGAGAACGAATCATGTCGGTCTGTCGATTAAATGTTTGTCTAATGATTGTCGTGTAAATGACAACATTGTCGTAGGTTGCGCACAACTAGCGTAGCAACTAATACGACCAAAATTCAAATTTAACCATTACCACCAAGGAGATAAGGAACATTTTGCCCAAGTTGCACAAGTATGCATACGGTGGTGTGCTTGTGTTTATAAAGATTTCCCGTGTTGTGTTATTATGACACTATGATACTGTGGAATGCAAGCAACACGATCTCTGTGTCGAGTTGTAAACTGAGCGCTCTGTGATTTGCCGAAGCTATGCGCAAAATGATCCGCAACGCATTAATCCATTTGAAAGCAAGCTTACATTCTTTAATTATGCATTCTTTTAGCGAATTCCACCAGCACCGTGGAAAGCTTGTACGACATATTAGAGTTTTTTTTCAAACCTTATTATGTATTTAAGTAAATGAGCATCAACAACACAGCATTGTGTACAGCCAGATGCGTCTTAACATATAACTTCTCACAATTAAACACAATGTCTCATTCATTACATTTCCCACAGACATTTTGTAGTACGATTTTATTGTCGTATATCTCGACATACGACTAATCTTTCTCAGGGATACGCCAAAAATGTTATACAGATGCGGCTAGTTTTTCTCTTGCCCGTTAATTGAATAATTGTCCCAAATGTAACGACGTGTATGCATGTGCAAGTGTCAATCATTTTGTCCTTGGCCGTGGCTGTGGGCGTGAGGCGGCTACGAATGCGATCCAGTGTCGGCCGGGTCTCTATCTACTAGTGCTATTGCTAAGCAACTGAATGATGCAGTTTGTATCATAGTTCATAGTATATACAAAATAACTTTGTTATCTCATGAAGATTCACCTCTTAGTTTGTGATAGGTATTATGGATAAGGGTATTAGATGGTGGTCCTATGGCGTACGTGATAATAAATGCAATGCATATGTTTTCGCTGCGAAATAACCTGAAAAAAGGTATCTCAAAAACAATGAAAAAGTGTTGGTTGTAGTAGTAGTAAACGGCAATATGTCGTCTTGTGTCGCAACTCCACGTGTACTCATGGCCGCATTGCGGATGGCGTAGATTGGCGTGCCCGACCCCGGCTTTTAGTTTTTGTAGCGACACCTACCTTGAGCACCCCCTGAACAGCTCTCTAGTAGTGTTCGCTGAGAGCATACCACGAGTTGAAGCTTTGTTATTCTTGTTAAAAAAAACCAACTAAAGCATATTATAGAGAGATGAATATTAGTATAACTATTATATAGAGACGTAGCGATAGAACTATGCTTATTTTTTTGCGTTCCTACATATCGATTTTCATATTCTACGTATGCGGAATTTTATTGCGAATTTTGCTGCGTTACGTGCGTGGTCCGTAAACCGCCGGCCAATCGCTGACCATCGCTCAAGGACATAGGTGTACTATAACGACTAGTTAAATTGTCACAGGCATTACTGCTCAAAGGAATTTGGTCGTTACTACAATGTAATAAAGTCACGAGTCGTCTGGAAGCAAACTAGTAGAGCTGTTATCGTTCAGTACACGTGAATTTATACGATGTTTGGAGTTCGCGAATCTGTTGCATAGGGTTGTCTATGTAGTGGTTTTTTCAATTGTTGATTGTGCGAAAAGGGAAAACAAATGATTATACTTAATATTCTATAATTAGGTTAAGTTGAAAATAATTTGACATAAACAAAGGAAATAAAAACAAAACAGTAAGATCTGCCTAAGTGATTAAACTTCTTGCGGGCAGTGTGGCATTTATATATAAATTAAGTAATGTTTTGCAGTTTTCATAATACCGTAATATATTGTATGACATTTCTAACCTACATGGCAACGTTTTTGCAACGAAACCGCGTGGTGCGGCTTCCACCGTTACAAGTCGCATAGATTTTTACTACAAAACGATTAGTAAATTTGTTTTTGCCGCTGTGACGTCAGCATGGTAATTTGTCACTGGCACGGAACTGGTTCGTGTTGCGATACACGCGCTCAAGTTTTTTTATTGCCCCTTATAAGCTCTGGATGGTTAAAATATTATTACACAATATGTGTTAATATTATAGCAGTGTTCAGACGTCAAATAAGTGATAGCCGCCTTGTTTGATATTGTCGCACGTCACACGTGTGATATGACGATTAATGGAATATAAAATTAACCAAATTATCGCACAACGCTTGCTTGTTTGACGTTTTCACCTCTTAAAGACGTATTTACTCTTTTCTTTTTCTATAAAGCGCGCAATAAAGAAAGCTATTACCGTCTATTTAATGAATAAAAATAGATATAATATGTATGTTGGTACAGGGCATTGTATTGAGTCGTGTCTTACAAGATGTTTGCATTTTATCTTTATACGATAAAAGAAAGAGGTCCCTTTATTTGAACAGATTTCCAGTGATGATCTTGTGTAACTAATCCTGCTATTCAACAAATTATCCCTTCCTTCACTTTGAAGGTATTCAAATTATTTGAACCATTTGATGTCAACCAGTCTCCGTTTTGCTCCAGTATTCGTTGTTCAACCATAAGCAAATTTATATGTATTACACATTATTTTAGGTTAAGGGATTCGGAATTCAAAATGTACTATTTTTTTTACGAATCATGTTTTAACGCATACTTATGCCTTTTAAATTAATCTTTTTGTAATGTGTTGTCGTACAACAGATGGTTTGATGTATGTGTGCGTGTTGTTGCAGAGGCATCAGTACAGAGCGCGGAGAGCGGGCGGACTGTCGCGTCGGGAGCGCGCCGCTGCCGACGAGCGTGCATGACGCTACACAACCCGAGCACCACTGCCCGCAGGTGACCACCCCAACAGCACCCCAACACAACGCAACTCACTACATGTCCCCACCTCAACAATATACTAAAGTATACTGTGGTGTGTCGCAGAGCATCCAAGCTAAGCAGCAGTAGGCACCGGAAGCTGCTGCCGCTGCGGCAGACGTGACTGGCGCGCGCGCGGGTCCCCGCCCCGCCCGCTCCCCTGCCGCCCCCGCGCACCACGCGCACCACGCGCACCTCGCGCCTCTCGCTCTCTACTGCAGGTACTCCACTCTCCAACCCCTGCAGCTGGCAACTAGACTTTACTAGTGTTCCGGTTACCTAACAATATATTTGTTGTTTCAGATTCAGTGTCGCCATCCAACCGTCTCGAGGACAATTAGTTAGTTTTGTAGCATAGCGTAGTGTAGCATAAGGCCGTCGCCATGGGGTCGGTCAACGTTAACCGGAATGTGGCGGACGCATTTTACCGCTACAAGATGCCGCGCATCTGCGCGAAGGTGGAGGGCAAGGGCAACGGCATCAAAACTGTCATCGTCAACATGCCCGAAGTGGCCAAGGCGCTCGGCAGACCCGCCACTTGTGAGTGCAATTACACTTTCACACATTCTCAAGGTTAAGTACACACGAGTACATTGTTCTAAACTTCTCCCTACTAAATTTACAGACCCCACCAAGTACTTCGGGTGCGAGCTGGGCGCGCAGACCCAGTTCGATTTCAAGAACGAGCGCTTCATTGTCAACGGCAGTCACGACTCTGCCAAACTTCAGGACCTGCTGGACGGGTCAGTATAATTATACTCTCTATGTTTCTAACATTGAAAAATCTCAAATAGTTTGCACGTGTCGGATGCTTTTTGAGTTTAAAGTAATAGCGTGTTTGTTTTTTGGTCAGGTTCATTCGCAAGTTCGTGCTGTGCCCGGAGTGCGACAATCCGGAGACGGAGCTGATCGTGTCGACGAAGAAGAACAGCATCTCGCAGGGTTGCAAGGCGTGCGGCTACCACGGCGCCCTCGAGTTCAACCACAAGCTCAATACGTTCATATTGAAGAACCCGCCCGCCGCTGACCCCAGCGTACAGGTACATTATCACTCACTTATGTCGAATTAAAGTCATCTTCAATATACTGACTGCATTTTAAATATTTGCAGGGCTCGTCGCTGACAGAGGGCAACCGGGGAAAACGCTCCAAGCGCTCCGGCCCACCCGCCAACGGCAACCACGACGGCCAGGAGAACCATGATGCCAAAAATGTATGTACAACCTTACAAATACACACCTTGGTTAAAGTAGTATTAAAATAGTATTATTTTGTTCTAGAGTTAAATATGTATAAAATAAACAATTTGTACAATGATTTATTGCAGGAGGGCGACGCACCAATAACCCCGACTACACCCAATCCCAGCAGCAAGAAGGACAAGAAAGACAAGTCGAAACATGGTGACGATGACGACGATGGCACTTGGACTGTTGACGTCAGCGAGGAGGCCGTGCGTGCGCGCATGCAAGGTGCACTATCTTCCATTTCACAACAATATTTTTTTCACATAGATAAACTTTTAAACGAACGTCATGTGAATATTAACTTATCTCAAACCGCGTATCATTACTAAGTTAGCCTGTACGTGTTTATACGAATGTTCCAGATCTGACGGAGGGCGCTAAGAGCATGACGCTGTCCGAGGACACGGAGAAGAACGAGAAGCAGCGCATGGATCTGTTCTACGCGTTCGTGAAGCAGCGCGCCGACAGTGCCGCCGCCGAGGGCAGCAAGGCCGTCTCCGACATCGTGCACGAGGCCGAGCGGTGAGACATGCTACATACAGCGACATCTATCGCACGCGACAACTAGCTTGCATTACATTACAGCGACATCTATTGTACTATTGTGATAATTTGCACGTATATTACATTGCAAGTTTAAACAATGTGTGATATGTGTGGGTTGCAGGCTGGAGGTGCGTGAGAAGGCGCCGCTGGTGGTGTTCGAGGTGCTGGTGCGGCCGAACTCGCTGGCGGCGGACGTGAAGAAGCAGCGTCCTCTGCTGCTGCGTCTGACGCGCGGCGAGCCCCGCGCCCAGCGCGCCGTGCTCAATGCGCTCACCGCACTCTGCGCGCTGCATCAGAACCTGCTGCCCAAGGTGACGCTCATCATGTCGCTTACTACTTTTAAATTTACCATTGTTTTAAGTTAAAAAAAAAGTTATTATATTTCAATGCTCCAATTCGTCAGTTTGTTAATATTGTTATTGAACGTGTGCAGGTGCCGGCGATACTAAAGCTGCTGTACGACACGGACATAATAGAGGAGCGCGCGGTGCTGGACTGGGCGGCCAAGCCGTCGCGCAAGTACGCGCCCAAGGAGGTGGTGACGGAGGTGCGCCGCCGCGCTCAGCCCTTCATCGAGTGGCTCACCGAGGCCGAGGAGGACAGCGACGACGCGCAAGACGCCCAGCCCGACGACCTCGACGTCGAGTACGACGACCGCGCGCCGCTGCGACCCGCCGCCGCGACCGTCGCGCCCACCGCACCCACCGCCGCACCCCCCGCCGACGACGGCGAGGATGACGTCGACATCGACGCCATCTAAGTCTGTGATGCAGCACCGCCCCCCGCGCCGGTCACGTCACTGTTACACTCCGATACCTACTATATATATTATCAGCTGCTAATTAATCACTAGAGTCGGGTCAAAAATAAATTTGAAGTCACTGTAAGGACGTAGCGCTGTCGTGACGTCATCGGCGGCCGCCTCCGCAAAACATCTTGCGCATCAATGTTAAATTGTACCCATAATGAATTCCAAAAGTTTTGTAAACAATATCGTATATTTACTCATGATTTGACTACGGTAATAAGCTAGTGGAATATTTAATCTACGTGGTCTGGCCGAGTAGCGGCGGACATCTTGATGTAACTGTCCTGCGTACAGACATTTGTATGTATTTAATGGGGAAAATTATTATATCTCAATGTTATATGTAACCTGGAAACCTTGGAATATGCCCTTTGTTGCTCAAATGTGTTTTATCAACTTTAAATTTGTGTCTCAAAACTGTATTGTACGAGAAATTTTTCATGGGAAACCTGCTGTTTGTCGGTAGACACATCATTGTGATAGACGAATATTTGTTTGGATTTAATTAAATTCATTTTTCTTAACACACGAATGCTGCTGTTTCTTATATATTTTAACAATTGTATTTTGTACATTCTCATTGTGTCTATCGAACAGACGGATCGAAATAAAATTCAACTTGATTTACGTCTAAAAATAAAATGTGTAATCAATTATTACTAGACATTAGGTGTATTCAACTTATATATTCAATGTCCTCAATAAAAACTTTGTCTGTCTGTCTGTATGTATATTTGTATCTACGTGTATCCGTAATCGCTTAGAGAACTAGCCTCTAGCAATTTTCTATCTCTAATAATTGTTCCTATACATACAAGTATTGTTTATTTAATCAGGCAAAACTAGACTTGCAAGCGAAAATATCGCCTAGGAAACCTTGTCTTTTATTCATGAAATATTGAATTTTAAGAATTTGCAATAATGATTCGTAATATGAAAGGTTTAATAAAGTTTTTTGTTTGCAAAGTCAGATGTTTTGTCTAGGTTTTAATATTTTTTTGGGATGAAAACAAAACAACGCTTGACATCAAGTCGGAGAGCGCACTGACTGAGAATGGCGGCTGGAATTGTGTTGAATGAAATTTGTTTAATTTAGCGAGCGCTCAATACTTTCTGTTGCGGCTGTATTTGTCACAAACACGAGGACACCACCATTTTAATGCTCCAATCAGATGTTTATATTTAAATGATTTTAGTATTAAATAGTAAATTGGCAATAGCGCGAGCTCGGCTGGGAGATGCCCCCCCACGTCCGTGCACGCGTATAGGTTAGTTCGCGCCTCTGCGTTTCCTCTATTATAAAACTATTATGTATAGAATATTTTGAAATTGCCATCTGACAATTTTATTAGATTTGTTTTGTATTCAATACATTTGGATTATGAAAATTATGTCGTTTTATTTCGTACCTCTCCAGATTTTAGGGACGGGAAAATATTTAACCAAAAAAATACTTAGATTTATTTTTTTATTTGGATTGTTTAGTACATTTACACAATTTCGGATGTAGATAAACATTTGGAAATGTAAAATAATACAAAAGATATATTTTGTTCTTTAGAAGCCTAAAATATTTCGCTATTAGTTATAAAAACGTAACATTCATTTCACCCTGACTGTACATTGGGTCACAAAACCCGCCTTAACTAATACTAAATGCGTACATAAACATTATTACATACAATTATTTAATTAACGGTTAATTTTACATAATCGGTCGATTAACATAACTTTATCAAAATTGTTAAAGACGTTATGCCTTGCATTTAGTAAACTTATATGCTAATGTAGTAAAGCGCCATCTATCGGCCTAATAGTGCGACCGCCGGTTCTTGTTCCGCGCGTGATTAGCCAGGCACAAGCCGAACACTACCGCCACAAGCTGCAAAACAAAAGGTAAAAAATTAACAAACGCAAACGGTTGTAACTTGCGGATTAAAAAAAATAGTCTATGTGTTCCTTCGGACTATTTTCTATTTAAAATATTTGTAAGATTGAATGTCTGCTTAATACTTAACATCACAGGTGACCTAACTTCGAATGGGTCACATTACAGTAAAACTCAAACATAAACCTCGAAACTGACCTCAATAGCAACAACAACGATGCAGACGACGCCGATGGCGAGTCCGAAGGTCTCGAGTAGACCCTGGACTTGCTTGTCGCAGCCGGAGTACGCGTTAAGTGGAGTGCAAGGCTGAGACGCGCAGCAAGTCTCCGGCAGAGCGATATTCATATACGACAACGGACCCGTCGGACCACAGCACGTGAACTGTGAACACACCCCAGTTTATTTGCCGTCCCTCTCATTTCCCTGTTTTTTAAATTAACGATAATGCTAAAATCTCGGTTGCCTCTTCAACGCTTGCCTAAAAAGGATTCTCACATGCTCTTTAAAAACAGAGTATAACAAAGATCGTGCCTCTAGAAACGCATTGTTACAAAGTGTTTTATTCATCACGAAGCATAAATGAAGTATTCACTAACGAAAAACATATTCGGAAATGTGTTTTTATCTCTGTCTCATCAAAATATGTGACAGAGATGAAAATACATTTTTATTCATGTGTTTTTATGGTGAATTCACGATAATCGCATCCGCAGCGTTATCGCTACGACTGATAATATTGTTTCGTGTGAAACGGGCACATCATAGCAATCATAGGATATGTTATCCGTTTATCAATGTATATGATGTCAAACACTATGATTAAACAACAAATTAGAACATTAAAAACCTATATTATACAATTTAATTCAAAAGTTCTTTCCATCTTTTCATACCATTAAAATATTGCCGAAAAACTTTTCGATTTGTCAATTTTATATAATGGTTAACGTGTTAAATAATTAAGAAATAACATATTGAATGCGTTGTACTCACAGCTCTTTCAATCTCCTGGAAGGCGACCCTATCTCTATTGAAAGCGTCATTCAGCACGTTAGGCACGCCCTGCACCAGACTGTCCAGGTTCACGAAGATCAGACTCGCCAGCGTTATTTTCAAGATCATCAGGATAATCATAAACAACGAGTACTGCAATAAAAATATGTAGGAACTTGTTACTATGTTGTTGTGTTGATTAACTTTCCCCGTTAACTCTTAATTCATTATTATGATACAATGAAATATAACATATGTGCATCAAATAATAAAAATAAAACGACAGACAATTGTTTGCTTACTTCCTTTTGGATTACGTCATATGATAATTCACGTTTGGTACATTACCCGACATTTCATTTGGCACGCCGGGAACTTATTGTAGGTTAAGGGACAATTCTTACAGTGATGAGCATGCAGTTGCTTTCCCTGATTGCGCCGCAGCATCCGAAAAAGGCGATGAGAAAGACGACGCCGCCGACTACCATGGAAGCGATGGGCGCCACCTGATAACTGCTGTCGGCGATGTCGATGACCGCAGTGCCCTGCAGCTGCACCGCCACGCCCAGGCCCAGCAGTGCCAGACCTGCGAGCTACAAACAATATATTATGTTAAAGTATGTATCAAAACATGCTCTCTCTCTCTCAACACACGTCGACACATATCGACGTCTTGTTTTTCGACAGTGGAACATGTTAATTGAGCTCCAAGTTGTCGTCTCGCTCAAAGTCAAAGCTCCTGCGCATGTTGCATTCAAGTGTTATTTAACACTTTTAATGCTCGAGATATTTCATTCATCAATCTTTCTGCTTTTTTTATATACTTATCCTTTAAAAATATATGTCGTATATTTTAAGGATAATGGTAAAAAGGTGTTTAGGTTATGTTCAAGGAATTGTTTTCTAGGTGTGGTTTATCTTTCAATAGCGTCACTAGCTCATATCTTTGTTCATATATCTGGTCCATACACCATTAAAAATCTAGTGTAGTTAGAATGTTATAATAACAGAATGAAATTTTAAAATCTATGTCACAGTGTTCTCAAGGCGCTACATTTTCTTCTACGACCAAAGATTCTTATCTACTATATATTTATATTGTTTGTGTTTTTAAATTAAAGTGTAAAGAAGTTCCTTCCGACATGAACAATCAGACTTTAAGAAGGAAACATTTAATAGTTGCGCATGAGTGAATATGATACAAATTGTGTCGTTTAAATTTGAACTTTGATCAAAAGTTATTATAATATTAAAAAATAGTAATCCTCACCGCAAATAATAAGTTCGAAATGAACAGGATATATCGTACAAGTACTTCACCACACCCCATTTTAATTTTTTTATGCAAAAAAATGCGTAAACGTGTCGCCGGATCGATAGCCAACTGATATCACAAGATGGCCGCCGCCGTTATCAGTACTGATAAGTTGATAGCGAGCCACGGGAAAAGAGGTTAACTCTTTAATACAACGTTCACGAAATTATAATGTAAACAAGATACGTGACTGGACATTAAGGATTTTTTCATATATGAATTAAATTAACTCGTGTATCCTTTGTTTCGAGAACACATTTTTTAATTTATGTTAATGGTAGGGGCATTATCTATTTGCAATAGATTCTCTATTAAAAAGAATAGAGAAGATTAATATAATATATCTACTCTTTAGTGAAATTTCCAGAGAAGAATTCGTAAATCACTTCTGCGATCTTTTACGAATGGTGCTAGTATAGTTGGAGTTCATTTTCATAATGCGTATAAAAATTAAAAAAAAGTCATAGAAAAAATTGTTACATTTAGGCTATTTACTTCTTAAAAATATGTAAGACTAAGCGCTATGAATATTCATGTGATATACATAAACATTTATCAATTTACTTGTAATGTTAAATCTTTTTCGCGGTAAATTGATTTTCTACAAGTACTTGAACGATAATATAATCACGATTAGATTCGTACCACGATAATGACAAGAGTATGTGTTAAAGTTTATTTATAACATCAGTAGTATAATATTCCTTACATCTTTCTCCTATATTTTAAATTATTTTATAGAACATAGTAGTTGCCCGCAATGTCGTCCGCGCGGAATTAAAAAAAATGTCGTAAAAATATCTATATTTTATTGGATAGTGTAGCATTCCAACAGTAAAAGAACTTCTCAAATCGGTTCAATATTTTCATAGCCTATTCAATACAAACAAACAAATCTTTTATCTACAATATTAGTATAGATAACAATATGTTAAAAGAAAATGCCAGCGCAATAATTTTTGCGTTTGAAATATTCACATTCTTTTATGCGTAAAATCAAGCAATTTAATTCAGAAACGGACGATGCGCGTGCTTTGTAATCAGTTACAATAAGTAATATAGTTCTTTATATTTCCATATTTTATACACTTGTGTAAACTTAAAATGTTCCTCGTATTAATCATTTCAACGTCTGGTAACATCACATCATAACCTCTAATACATTATGTGATGCATTCATTCCGTACCTCGAAAAGAAAAAAAAACTAACCCTTAAAGGATCACTTTGTTGTCCGTCCGTCTATCTGTCTGTCAATACCCTTTTTTATGATTCATTACTGTAAATATAAGCTACGTTATTGCATATTAATCCTTAATATGATACGTCATACGCAAAATACGTTGAAAAATGTATTACTAATCGATTTATTACAACGCATAGTACCTACACTTTACTATTGTTACTGCAATTTGAACAGATCTTATAAACAATATTTAGGGTCTTATTAATATAAGATAGAGTATAGTTCCCAGCATATTAAATGGAAAATAAATTAGAAATAGAAAAATCTAAGTTATGTCACTTTTCTATAGGAAATGCTTACGATAACAATACTATTTTAAGTATCAATTTGAGTGACTAGATTATAAGGAAAAGTACTCAAGAGCATGTCTTACTAATATTGAAAATACGAATGTATGGATAGATTTGTGTATGAATGGATAAATGTTTATTAGAAGGTATCTCCGGGACGGCTGCAAGGTTTTGGCTAAAATTTGGCATAGACGTAGAACATAGTCTACTTGTAAATTCATTTTAATTCTACGAGTACGGAGTCGTGGGCGACAGCTAGTATGTAATAATGCAATGGATATGACAAGAACAAAAGAGGTGTGTCAGGAAATATTACTCATTGAAAATGAACACGCTTAGGACCACTTTTAAAAAAAATCTGATTGATGAAAAAAAAATATACTTACCGCGAAAAATAAGTTCGTAAAGAACAAAATGTATTTAACTAAGAATTCACCACAACCCATTTTGATTGTTTTTTTTTCAATAAAAAAAAAATTACAACAATGTGCGCACGCGTCCTCACTTGCAAGTCCACTGACACAACAAAATGGCTGTCATCAAACATAAAGAGTTATCAACGTTGATAAGCTGATGACTATACGAGTATATTTTTCTAGTGAATCGGTTTTTAATGATTTCCCCACGACTGATAGCTGAATTCAAATGAAATTTTATGGTGCTATAAATATATATTATCATACGGTAATTATACATATAAATTTAAAAGAACAATGTTGTGAAACGAAAAGCTATAATTTGGCAAAGCATTTGGCGCCTTTTTCTGTTATACTTTAGAAGGTAAATGTAGTTCCTAAGTGTTAGTTTTAGGATACATAGGGTTTAATTTCTTCTGTTTCTACTTTAAAAATATGCCACTTAGATTGTATAAAAACGACAATTTAAACTTTTTTGATAATCTACTTTTTAAATTTACGATTTTTAGGGTTCTGGTATTTTGCTATTTATTTTTTACAGGCGTACTGGAAATTAATTAAAAGATATATCTTCCTTTTGTACAAAATCTGACACACACTGTGTGTATTTATATTTAAACAAACTGTGTAAATATAAGTATCGTTTGACTTACATTTTCAAATTTAATTTTCATATTGAATAAAGGCTTGAAATTCTGTTCACATCGAATAGAAGTTGTACCAGATACGATTGTAAGGGAATTATAACGAGTCACTTCTAACCTAGATTTATCTAATTCGACTACATAACTTATCAATCATGTCCTTTAATTGTCATAAATCTGTATTGTTCTCTCTGTTATGGTGTTTATTGACAATTTTCTTATTCTGGTCTATATATTATCACTTAAAACTATATTTAGTAACACTATAATCCTTTATAACCTTGCTTATATGTTAGGAATATATTATTACTTTACATATATTTTACAATAAACGTAGTTAACCTCCAAAAATGTACAACCGGTGTGTTTATGACGACAATGCGCAGCTGGTTATTGATACTGACGGAAGTTGTCTGCAATGAAAAATGATGAATACTAAAATGGTTACCGCCTTTATATGTTTGAAACGTCAACAGGTTTCAGTCAATTTTATTGAAATACAGAAAATAAGACATTATACATGATAGAACCTAGATTATAAAGAGATACGGAGAGTCTAACTTTTTGAATGATTCCCCACCTTAAACCTGTTGCTTCTTCTTAATGCATTATTAGGAATTAGTCCTTTAGCACTTTATTCGAAGTTTAAACGAAGGAGACTTTTTGTTGCCTGTGTTAAAATCGTATTATATGTTAAACGCTATGGTTGGTCACCTACTTCTTCTTTGCTCTGTTGATGTGGTATTATTTTGGGTGCCATTTTTTTATAAAAGGCAAAAGGCGTTGTACGTTCTAGATTTCAGTATAAAAATTCTTGATTATAAATGTTATAGGATAATCCTTAGGCGTTAATTAACTTTAAAATTTCAATTTAGTAATTCCCGGCTTATGATGAATTCAAATATTGTTGAACTGTTATAAGTATAATAACGGGAAAAACTTTGCTATTGTCGCTCTGTAGTCGCAGCATCGTTTCCTTTTGTTTTATCATCGAGCGAATGATTCAGAGGACTCTAAGTCATCGTCCAGCAACAATATTAGTATGTCTTGAAGAACATGAATCACAAGAAGAACTTTAGACATTTTGGAACTTTAAAAAACACCATAAACTCAAGCATATTCCGGTATAAGTATCAAAGGGTCTAAAGTCGTACAAGTTTAGCGATTCATTAATAAATTTCTGAATCGCTTAAGAAGTTTCAATAAAAAAAGTTTATGTTAGATTCTGCTATAAGTGATGTGATGTAGGAAAAACGTAAACGTAGGAAAAAAGGATTTTTTTATACATAAGAAATTTTCGCCACACGTCACATTCCGTCTTTCGAATAGGCGAAAAGTGGTATGCACGGTTTCTTTTGGCCATACTGAATGGAGGTCCGTGGCCTCCGACTACCCCTTTGGGTTACAGGCCTAAATCGTTTGTAAATGTAAATACTTAATTATGTACTTTATATAAAACCTGACATAATTATCGGCGTTAGTTCGTCGCGTGTCTGATGACAATTATAAACTAGTCCTGACCGACACTAGCGCCCGCGCACTTTGAAATTATGTTTTAATTGTCAATTATTTCCTGTGACTAAGGATTAGGGTTTTTTCTGCCATTACAGGATAATTTCGCGGGTTTCTGTGACCAGAATCCCAGTTTGAAACATACTGTTATGTCTGTTTTGTCAAAGATAATGACAGGGATGACGATATGTTAATACAAAGATTTGACAGCAAAACGCAACGGTGAGTACAAGCTGATCATTTAATGTAAGGAAAAATGTATTTAGGATTCCTATGAATGGAATTAAAGAGTAACAAGTTTAAATATTTTGGGGGGCTTTGAAAACATGCAAGCTGATGCAAAACTAGATGCAAGATGCTTGATTAGAATCATAATTTCCTTGTACAACTTGTATTATAGAAATAATTAATAATTCTAAACAAAAAGTTGGCTCATGTCAGCTTCCTCATTCCTAACAAGTTGGGTATAGGTGTATATTACGATTCGCAACCAACCAGTTTTAATATATACTTATTTTTATTTTTAAATTACGGAAATAATTTAAATGCTAGCATTAAACCGATATGAAGAACTTTCAAGATTATTTTTCAACATACTTAGGTATTAATAATTAACCTATTAAAAAAAACCTTCAAGAATTTCATACCGCAAACATGCGTAAGTAATGTCAGCATTGATAGTAAAAAATGTACCGCAAGTTTATAATATTGGTCATGATGTTACAATCATGAGAGATAAAGCGCGGGAAACCTAAACCACATGCTCGCGTAAATTCAAAGAAAATAAATATAATTGAGGTAGGTCAATGGTCAATTTCTTATAAACACTGTCTAGTTAAGTCTACTCGACCCTGACAATTGCAAATTGAATCAGGAATTTTATCTCATCTAAATGGCTTTATCCCACACAATTGGGGTCGGAGCACATAGTTTTTGGTTTAATTTTTACAGACGCCGACAGCCTGACGCCATCCCTATTTAGAATAATTAATTTTTGTACCTACTTACTCTCAATTTGTATGAAATGTAAATAAAATTTTACTAATATTAACATTTCGAATGTTTAGATGGATGGATGGATGGATGTTTGTTTGAAGGTATCTCAAAAACGGATTAACAGAACTAGCTGAAATTTGGCATAGATGTAGAACATAGTCTGGAAGAACACATAAGCTACTCATTAAGTTTTTTTTTAATTCGCGCGTACGTAGACGCTAGTACATCATAATTCTTAAAAATCTGTTACTTCTCGTAGTTCGGGTCGGAGTTGTTATAAACAAGTCAGTGGATTTTTTATCCACAGTTCAGAACGAAAGTAACGTGGTTTTTCTAGATTACATTTTTCTACATTGAAAGTTATTAAAAGCTCTATTGACGACAAAGTGACGTGAGTGAGGTGTGATTCTGCGGCGGTTTTCCCCCTCGCGTCGACACAAGATAAACTGGTCCATTCGCGGGCTTCCGTTGCTTGTCGTCAGATCAGTACGTGGGCGATACAAAATTAACTGAACTGGATGATTTCGTATATTTTAGTTTTTTATAAACGTATATTCAAAAAACAGTCGTTAGATATGTGCGCTATGGCCATGTTAATCATCATTTCCTATGTTAGTATAACATTTTCTTGTTCAAAATTGTGTCAAAATTCGTAATACCGTGAGGGGTACCGTAAGGTCGGCAACGCATCTGCGGTTCCTCTGGCGTTGCGGATGTCTATGGGCGTCGGATCAAATAATATTAGGCGATTCGTTGCTCGTTTGCCCCCTTCTCCTATTAATCTTAAAAAATCTTAGAATATAAATAGATACTCATTTTTATATTATAAGGTGGCAAACGAGCGAGCGGCCACCTTAAAACGCTGAAATAAGGAAGCGACCGTTGCCCATAGACATACGGAATTGCGTATGCGTTGCCTAACCTTTAATCGACGGAGGAGGGGATGCACAAAAGGAAAATATTTCTTGCATTCGGTGCGCTAATAAAATGTAAGTATTAGTAACTCTATTTAGATGGACTACTGTTTAACAATAAAAATACTTGGCTTAAAATATGCGATTTAAGATTATTAATCAAAAAATGACCTTCACAAGACCGTTATTTATCTCTTAATTTTTCTATTTAGCTGCTATTTATATATTTTCAATACGATATAAAAATGGGTAATTCCGAATTAGAAAAGCATATGTTAATTCAAAAACCCAAAGCAACATAATTTTATATGAGTTAAAAAAAGATATAATACATTAAATGATACACAGACGAGGACATCACATATTTAAACCAGTCCAAAATAACTCGTTTGTGCGCAAAAAGTATGAAAAATATTTGACATAGAACTTGCGTGCTTAGTTTTAGGACTCCGTTAAAAAAATCTCCAAATCAAAATGTCTTACAAAAACTTAAATAAAATATAATTAACTTAAAAATAATATTAAAACAGTAATTACGTTATGTACGGCTACGGTAGTAAAATAGAGCTAAATTAATCCTGTTTTAAAACATTTAATTTCCAAATTTATCCATGACAATTTATGGTCCACGGCCAGCGGGAGTGTACTTTATTGATAAGTAAAGTTTAACGTTTACAAGTTAAAAATTAAATGTAGTTTAAGAGGGTTTATCGATACCTTTTGAAAGGTGTATGGAAAAATAAATTTATGCCTATCTGATTTATGAACCCCCAGCACACATTTTTTAGACTCGCAGATAACTGAGTCATAATGACAAAGACAAGCATAACTATGTCATCAAATGGGAACACAAATTATTGTGTGGCATAATTTGTGTCATGAACACACAATCAGATATTGTTTTGTGAACATGGACACACACACACAGGGACAATATAGTACAGATAATGA